CACATGTGAAAAGCAGTTCTAATCGCTGGTGGGGTTGGAATTTTTCAAGATTGGGGAACCATTGGAGCATTTTTTTTTTTAATTCGAGAAAAAGTGACCAATGCGGGATTTGATCCCGGGTCGTAGCGGTCGATAACCAATGGCGACATATCCTTCCACCAACCCCTAGAAAAAAGTCAATTTTGGTATTTGTTTTTGATGTTGTTATGGTGTTCTTTAATTCTTATGTTTATGTTTCTTGATGTGTATCTGACCTATGTAAGTGGAAGGGCACGATTCACAAGATATCTGGTAGATGACATTGCTGCTGTTCAAATTTTGTGATTTAGTGATGGAATTATGAGTTATTGTGCCAAACGATTGACTGTTTTCAAAGTGAAAAAAAAAAAAAATCTACCTTCCTCTATAATTAAACAATCATCATCGAGTCTTTCTTGTATTTAAAGGTCAAATTTCCGTTAAAAGAACAAAGATCAGTTGAACTTATCACAAAAAAAATTGACTGAAAGCTTCAAGCATTCCGATGGATCAGGTGCGTCACTGAAAAAGAAGAATATTTATAAAATTATTTAAAATGACTCAACATATTCGGAGAATTTAGATAAATTATGGCCTGATAGAGGTCAATTTGGCAAACCAGAGAAAAAGGTCAAATAGGTAGTGGAGATCGGATCTTAACAAAAACGGAAATACAGCTTCGACCAGAGAATATAACACTAAGCACAACTCACGCTTTGAATATATAAGAAAAAGTTATCTCCTGATCACGCCCTTGAAAGTTGCTGATGGCTTGAGCCATATATTAGAATAAATATAAATTTTTGCTGCTCTTATTGATTCCAGAATATAAGCACAAAATACTCTATCTCTTAATAAAATATGAAATGCCAACCACGTACGCGTTTCAAGATGTTGGCCCTCGTCAGCATGGTGCAGGCTGTACCTCAGCTATCAAAAAGATGGTCTTAGAGGCTTCCTGAAAAATTGAGGAATGAGTATTTAAAAAAGGTCAAAATTGATTTATAAGTAAAATATATTTGTTCAATATTTTCTAAAGAATAATTTAAATTTAATGATTAATTGATATTTATTCCAATAGATGGCGCAAACCATCAGCAAATTTAAGTTACACGATAAGGAGATGTCTTTTTCTTAAAATAAATATAGTTTGAAAAGTATTAAAAAAAAAAATTTGAAACGTTAAAAAAAAAAAAAAAAAAAAAAAAAAAATGCGACGGCCGGGAATCGAACCCGGGTCAACTGCTTGGAAGGCAGCTATGCTAACCATTATACCACCGTCGCTATGGGTAAAGTTTCCTATGAGGATCCTATGAGGAAACCTTTGCTGACCACATGACCCATTTGCTGGACTCACAATAAGAAACTTCGTTTAGAAAGGTCAAAAGGTCATCGGGTAAATATGGACATTTGCTATTTTTAGAATGATGCGCGCGCATAGGAATGTTACGGGTGTATGTTTTGAATTTCAGACGATTTATCGTTCAAGAGACAATAGTCGTCTGTTAAACATTTGTGAATAAATACTGTACGTTAATTCGTCGCCATTAGTGACTAAGGTTTACCCGTAACATTTCTGTAGGTTGGTTGAAATTTATGGATGATATCATAAAAACAACAAAGAAATTTAATTTCTATAGAAAATAATTGCATACAAATGCATTCCTTTATACCAGGGGCCGATAACCTTTTGAGTCAGAAGAGTCAAAACTTACAATTAACAAAATTTCAAAGTTTTTAAAGAGCCACAAATTTGTTTTTTACCAACAATAAATATAGTAGAACGACATTTGAAAATTATCCCGCATGTGTTTCTTTTGAACGAAAAATCGAAATTTATTTTTGAGGAGAAATAACTATTATTTCTAACTTTAGGGATGAAGTATGAAAGGATGAATTGTGAAGAGTAATGATAAACGGAAAAATAAGTGTCCAGGGATGGGAATCGAACCCACAGTGTTCCGCTTACCGGGCAAATGCCATGTCCTGTAGGCTTTCCTTGACATATTTTTACGTTCGTAAATATTATATAAATAAATATAGTACAGTAGAACCTCCATTTGACGGACACCCCGCTAGCGGACATCTCTCCAGAAAGGACAGTTTTAATTTGCAAAATTACCATTTTTACAATATAGCAACTCTCCGGTAAGAGGACACCTCTCTCTAAAGGACACTTTGACTTTGCAATCAGGTGTCCTTTACAGGGAGGTTCTAGTGTATTTAGCAACTCTCTGGTAAGAGGACATCTCTCCCTAAAGGACACCTTGGCTTTGCAATTAGGTGTCCTTTACAGGGAGGTTCTAGTGTATTTAGCAACTCTCTGGTAAGAGGACATCTCTTCCTAAAGGACACCTTGGCTTTGCAATTAGGTGTCCTTTACAGGGAGGTTCTAGTGTATTTAGCAACTCTCCAACGCTAATGTCTGTATTTGTCTTTGAAACTATATAAATATTCTTATAAATTTTCAGACATATAAAATTACAGCTGGAAACAATAATAGGACAATCTGGTAGTTAAAATTGGAGAATCGGCTGGTAGAGAGCTATCAAATGATAAGCCAAAATTTCCTAATTTTTTTCTCATCATTGAAGAAGAATATACATAGTTTCGATTTGTTTTTGTGATAAAAAAAAGCGCAAAATAAATATTTTATTTATAATTCAATTATAATTATTATAGAAGTCGCGTCAAAATCATGTGTTTGATAGTTCGACGCCTGCATCAACCGTATCAGGATTATTATCAATTGAATTGCAAAGAGAAATTCTTGAGGTAGATATAAAGGTTGCCATCAAGAAAAACTTTGTCTATCTATCTTTTTATTCTCAAACACAACCCATAGGTTGTCAGTATATATATTTCGGTCTTCCAGATTTTCCTTTATATGATTAGTCTTTTGATAATATAGGGCAGCTTAACCATTAAGAAATTACGAAAATGGGAACACAAAATCGTTCCAAAGGAAAGAAAAACAACGGGCCCAAAAAACACCGTTGCTATGAGAAGAAAATCAATGCGTGACAAAACGCCTTTGCCAAGAAAAGAACAACAACAGGCCAACTAAATATCTTTTCTAAGGAAAAAACAACAATGGAGCGTGAACTACATCGTTGCTAAGGAGGCGACAACAATGGAAGAAGGAACATCGTTCCATCGTTCCAATGGGAGACTGAACATCGATGATAAGGACACGACAACAATTAAGACGTGAATCGTTGCTAAGCAGACGACCACAATGAAAGTCGGAACATCGTTATTAAGTTAGCAGCAACAATTAGAGACGGAACATGGTTGCTAAGGAGGCGACAACGATTGAAGACGAAAAATCGCGTCTGAGAGAGGGACAACAATTGAGGACGGAACATCGTTTCTAAAGAGGCGACAACAATAAAAGACAGAACATTTTTGCTAAGAAGAGACAACAATTGAAGACAGAACCTCGTTGTTAAGAAGGCGACAACAATGAGAGACTGAAAATTGTTGCTAAGGAGGCGACAACAATAGAAGGAAAATCGTTGCTGAGGAGGAGACAACAATGGTAGATTGAACTTCGTTTCTAAGAGAGAGACAAAAAAAAAAAAGAAAACAGAACATCGTTTCTAACGAAGCGACAACAATTGAAGATGGAACATTGTTGCTAAATAGGCGACAAGAATTAGAGACGGATCATCGTTGCTAAGGATGTTACAACAATAGAAGCCGAAACATCGTAGTTGAGGAAGCGACAACAATAAAGACGGAACATCATTACTAAGTGGGCGACAACAATGGGAAACAGAACTTTTTTGCTAAGAAGGCGACAGCAATGGAAGACAAAAATCGTTGCTAAAGAGGTTGAAAACATTGGAAAACGGAACATTGTTGCTAAGGAGGCGACAACAATGGAAGACGGAACATCGTTGCTAAGAAGGAATCAACAATGGAAAAAAGAACATCGTTACTAAGGAGGTGGCAACATTGGAAAAAGGAACATCATTTCTAAGGAGGCGACAACAATGGAAGAACGAACAACGTTGATAAGGAGCGAAAACAAATTAGGGACGGAACATCGTTTTTAAGGAGGCGACAACAATGGAAGACGGATCATCTTTGCTAAGGAGGCGACAACAATGGAAAACGGAACTTCGTTGCAAAAGAAGCGACAATAATTAAAGACGGAACATCGTTTTTAAGGAGGCGACAACAATGGAAGACAAACATCGTTGCTAAGAAGGCGACAACAATTAGGGACGGAACATCATTTCTAAGAGGCGACACCAATGGAACACGAAACATCGTTGCTAAGAAGGCAACAACAATTCAAGACGGAAAATCGTTGCGAAAGAGGAGACAGCGATGGAAATCAGAAAATCGTTGCTAAGGAGGTGACAACAATGGGAAACAGAAATTCATTGCTAAGAAGGCGACAAAAATTGCAAACGGAACATAGTTTTAAGGAGGCGACAACAATGGAAGACGTAACCTCGCTGCAAAGGAGGCGACAACAATGGAAGACCGAACATCTTTTCTAAGAAGGCAACAACAATGAAAGACGGAACATGGTTTCTAAGTAGGCGACAACAAATGGATAGGGAACATCGTTTCTTAAGAGGGGACAATGTTTAGAGACGGAACTTCGTTTATAAGGAGGCGACAACAATGGAAGACGAAAAATCGTTTCTAAGGAGGCTACAACAATGATAGACGGAACATCGTTGCTAAGCAGACGACCACAATGAAAGTCGGATCATCGTTACTAAGGAAGCAGCAACACTTAGAGACGGAACATCGTTGCTAAGGAGGCGACAACAATGGAAGACGAAAAATTGTTTCTGAGGGAGGGGCAACAATTGAGGACGGTATATCGTTGCAAATGAGGTGACAACAATGGAAGAAGGAACATCGTTGCTAAGGAGGCGACAACAATGGAAGAAGGAACATCGTTGATAAATAGGCGACAACAATGGAATAAGGAACATGGTTGCTATGAAGGCGACAACAATGGAGACGGAACATAGTTGCTAAAGAGGCGACAACAATTAGCAACGGAACATAGTGGCTGAGGAGGAGACAATATTTGAAGACGGGACATCGCTGCTAACGAGGCGACAAAAATTGTAAACGGAACATCGTTGCTGAGGAATCGAAACAATGGAAGACGAACAATCGTTTTTAAGGGGGCGGCAACAATAGCAGACGGAACATCGTTGCTAAGGAGGCGATAACAATTAAGTCAGAACATTTTTGTATGGAGGTCACAACAATAGAAGACGGAACATCGTGGTTAAAAGAGTCGACAACAATTAGCGATGAAACATCGTTGCTAAGTAGGCGACAACAATGGAAGACGGAGCATCGTTGCTAGGGCCTCCAATCCCGGGATCCCGGAGGCAAATAATGATCCCGAAATCCCGGGATTCTTCTCGAAAAATCCCGGGATTACTGGTTTGTGCATGAAAACCAGCGCAAAAATATATTTTGCTTATCTAGCATTTTGGTAATCAAACAGATGATGAGATAGTTCACTTTTGACGTTTTGTTTATACAGCTGCATTTCGGGTCTTTTTTTTTCTGAGAGATTTGAAATTATTTTCATGCACTAATAACGAAGGGTTATTCTGCAAGTCCTTTCCAAAATGGCAGCCTCTAGAATGAGAGTATGCAGCAGTATACATGGAGGGGGCCCCAGTTTTTGTTCTGACCTTTCCGAGGATGACAATGAGGACACTTCTCCATTTAGCGTTAGCCTAGAGGTAGCACATCCCTTATTCCCTGAAGCAATTTATCCACAATCTCCAGTATTTTCAAAGAAAAATATAAATGAAGTGACGAAAAAAGCTCATGTGGTTGTGAAATTTTTCAAACGATCGCCGCTGAAGAACGAGATCTTACTGAACTACATGCAGCAAGATAATCGCATTTCCACCAGTATGTGTCTCATTCTCGACTGCAGTACGCGCTGGGATAGTTTATTGAACGTGTTGGAGAGACTTCTCAGTGTGAAGTCAGCGATTAAGAAGGCGCTAATAGATGTGAATGCAAATGTCCGTCTAACTGATGAAGATTTTGATATCATGACGCAAGTAATTTCCGCACTGAAACCATTTCGGGCAGCTGTGGCGGCTATCTGTAGACGCGACGCTACGCTTTTGACTGCAGAAGCAACAGTAAAGTTTCTTCTAGAGGAGCTGCAAGCACAATCTCATTCTCTCAGCAAAGATCTGCAAAAATCTTTTCAAAAGAGAATTTTAGAAGAGCGATGCAATTAAACATCTTTAGTCCTCCAATATCTGCACAATCCGCAAGCACAGTTAGAAAAAAATAAGATGGTCAAAGACTTTAGCGTGAAATTGCTTTTGCGTCTTAAACCGTTACAGGAACAAATGGCCGAAGTAAGAATTCAGGCTGATAATTCACAACTTCCTCGGAGTTTACAAGAACGCCATAAGCCATCACAATCGAATGACCATTTCACAATTGAGCACCGATTGCAGGAAGCTATTGAGGCTGCCCCTTCAACTTCAATTACAATACCTACACCAGACTCCGCATACTACTCAACTATGATTAACCACGAACTTAATTTTGCTGCTCAGTCAGGCAAACGAGGACCGTATTTAGAGAGTGTGTATCAATACTTGCTGACAATTCCTGCAACGTCTGTGGAATCGGAAAGAGTCTTCTCCTCCTCTGGTTACCTATGCAATAAGATACGTTCTAGTTTGCATGATGACACTAAAATGACATTAATACACAGTTGGGCAAAATGCAATAATGATTACATTTTCTATAATCACAATTGCGAATAATCATGATTACATTTGCTATAATTACAATTACAAGTAATTTTAACCACAATTGCTATCATTATATATAGAATTACGAGTAATTATGTTTACATTCTAATGCAATTAATTTTTTTGCAAAGTAATGCATTGCAAAGTAATCGTAATTACAAGGTAATGTATTATTTTGAATGGATTACTGCCCAACACTGCATTAAGAGATGTGGTCTAAGCGTT